TGTATGGAAAGAGAGCAACACAAGCTGACCGGACTTTGTGACGGAAGAAAGACGACGTCGGTTGATCTCAACTGCATTGGATGAGCGTTCTGGCAGTTCGATTGGTGGGTTAATGTCGGTTATTGTTGGGTATCACGGAGTCTTTCGGCAAACGAGAAGAAAAGCAGATGAAGCCGACTGACTGTGTGCAGTACTGCTACACTAACAGCTTCTGTATGGCCGAAGAGATAAAAATGTCACAACTGCCGCATTCAATAGTACCAAATGTTCGACCCAAGGTTATTTAAGAGAATGACATCACAAACATCGGTACGATATTTAATTTGCACACATCAGTTTTGTATAGAAATAATCGCGCTCAATTACACACGGTTAAATTGGACAAATGTTCTTTTGAGTATTGAAAAATTTTCGCTCTCTTCATCGATCGGACCTACAATTAACTCACAAGTGATTAAATCACTCGACCCAATAGCGAAAGCCTTGTGCGACAGGGCTCTAGAAACTCTCCTATGGGTTTTTCGGTTACTTCCCCACGTTAACCCTAAGCCCCACTGACATCCCTGTCAAAGGATCCGGTTCTGATTCATAAAGGAAAACCCTCTCGTTGGCGCGGGCTACCGTGAAGTAGTTCGTGCCCTAAAGTCCGACGTGCTATGTGATAAAGCATCAAAGTAGTCCGAATTGGATTCTTCGTGCTTGAGTTTGTATGCGGTAAATTAGTGGTATACGTTATCTTAAAATTAATTGTACAGATTGTTACATATATCAAAACTAATGCGGATCAAGGAAGAAAGCAGCTCTGTCAAGTGACCAACATCAACAGCCCAACGGACCAAAGTGCAATAACTGAGAACAAAAAGAATAACAGAAAAAACGGCGGGGATGAAAGAAGTACTGGGACTAAAGACTCGCAAAGATAGATTGGTCGTACCAAACGGCTATGCCCAACAATTAGGGAACCTGTAACAAACTGAGGTAACCACGTAGATGTCGATGAAACGGTTGGGGTGATTGAGTTTCCTTATCAAAGTGTCAACGCGTTCTTCACCATTGAAAAGCCTTGGTTCGGTTACAAACGAGCCAAAACCTCAAAACCGTTCGATATGAACAGTTTCGTGCACATTACGGCAGCTTTCCCCTTCAGCCGTAGTAGTAGTAAAACTCAGTAGAGAATTCATTGGTCCGGGAGTCGGTCACTGTCTGGATAAGGTCCGGTACTTTCAAAGACAGAAACGGATGAGCGCCATATCAGATAGTATTGATGCGTAGCAAGCCGCCGACAGTGAGTGCAGGTGGTTAGTAGATCGGTTTGACAACCCTACACGTCCGAGCTCGAAAACCGGTGAATAAGCACTGATAATGATTCCCATTAAGGCTTTCCATAAACAATACCTTGACGAACACAAATAGCACACAAATATAGCTGGTCGAAGGTAAAAGAACTAAAAACTTCACCAACAGCTGGCATCAAAATACTTTTGTTTAACTCGCGTTTTATACAAACTGCAGTTCCACCTTGAACCACCACAGATGAGAAATCCAATCAAAACAACATCCTAGAATAATCATTACGAGATTTACCTGAATTTTTCAGTATTACCACTATACACAGCGCTGAGTGGTTCGCAGCTTTTCAACGAATATGGGATGAGCAACAGACCTCGAAAAGCCCCCCTCCCCCTGGTACACGAGAGAGAGAAAAACAACTATTTTCAACCGTATCAAAGAAAAACAAAATCGTTTTAGTGACAGAAAAGAACGAAATAATAACTACTTCCCCGAGAGAGAGAAATTGTACAATGCGGTATCTAGACAAGCAGAACGGGACAAATGTGTGGCAATATTGGCAATTTGTAAAAACGGATATTTCGGGGTGAGACAATACACGTGGGAATACTGTTGCGGGAAACAAATAGGATAGTGTGAGGACAACAGAGATGACCAATGTCTAGGTATATATATATATATATATTTCACAGAAGCCAGAACAAACGAACAAAGTGTATTTCTTCCATGCAGTGAAAGACCATCTGTAAGTATAGATAGGGAAGGAGATCACGATTTTGATTCTCTGAAAGCTGTTTGATACCCCTCACAAAGTGTGTGCATGTAGTACGAATCTAAAGGAGCGATAGCAATCTCAATTCTGTGCTAGACATCAATTCTATGCAGATCAGCAAAAATTCCAGTTCAATTGGCCACTTTGTTCACTGTTTTTAAATGTTGTTGTTGCTTATTATTATGACCATGCACTCGAGTTCTGTTGTCCACCGTGCTGACCTTACTCTCCGGACTGTGGTTCTCGTGTGCCACATCCACCAGGTTGCTCACATTTTTATCACGAGTAGTGTGTTTCGATTTCGGATCACTGATCGTAATATCTTCGGGTACGAGTTCGGGACGGAACGATGCGTTTGTGATGACTTCCACTCCGGACGAGTGATGGGACCGCATAGAACGCAGCATATCGCCCGGTTTCGAGGTGTCCGGCAATTGATTGCTTTGCAAAGTTTCCTGATCGTCCGCGGTGGCAATCAGGGAGTTAATGTCCACGCACGGAGTATTACTAGTCGATATATTGAACCCACCTATGGCTCTTGGACCATACTGTGCACGACGACTGTGTAAGGCGGCCTCCGCGAGAAGTAATGGGGTAGAAAAACAGTTATATGTGGCGCGCTTTTCAATTTCGCTTATGGCAGACCAAACGTTGGTGCGTAGAGTAAGTGTGGTACGTCGAATCTTGTCTGTACGGTTGTCTATTTCATCCAGTCGATACAATATCATATCCAACCCAACGAGAAAATCGCATAACACTGAAGAGGATGATGGGAGACGCGGGTGTTTGTTCACACTAGCAACACGTTCACACAACCGGCAATATTTAGCCACCGAATGTAATGCAAGTAGTGATTTGTTTGGGTCCAGAAGATCCACCTGGGAAAGTGTTTCCAAATAGTTACGCAACAACTGTGTGATCACAAGAACACGATTGAATACATTAAGGGAAAACAGTTGCATCGGAAAGATGTCGTTTTCGTCTGTCGGATGATCATTCGTTGAGATACCATCATGGTATATAGAGGATTCACTCAACGTAGGAAGTCTCAGTCGTGGGTCGGATTTCGAAGACACAGGAAGATGTGAAGATGAACTATGGGAGAGGAAATGACGGCAAATCTGTAGCAGACAATTTTCTAATGCAGTCAGATTGGTTATTCCCGGATTTTGTGGATTGTCCGTGGTGGTAGCATTTGCTTTGCGTGTCTGCAACGCGTCCTCGTCACATAAATGCGATAAGTATGCATGAATAAGGGATGGGAGAAGAAAAACGACGAATTGTCGCAGGGAAACTGATACAGATCGATAGAATAACACAAAGCGTTGGCAAACTTCACCGATCATAGAGGAACTCATCTTTTCAAACATTTCTTCCATGTCTTCCAATAACTTAACACTTGCATACATCCAGCCTGTCAGATCTTCCATAGCTTCGCTTGAAGCCGGTTTATATGCCGCCAACCATCTCGCCACTTTGGATGGCATTATGGACTGATCTCTGAAACGAAAGGAAGACGCAAATGAGCATAAATCGGTTTGGGTTTGAAATCATGATAGACAGATGTTTCACTTCTAAATCCTAGATAATTAATAAGGGTGGTGGAGGCACAGTGGTTGAGTAGTTATCATCGACATGCTTTCGACAATCCAACTTTGGTGGTAGGCAGCTTTGCTGTCGTCCGGGCCAAAACCACGCCTAACACAATAGGGCCTTATGTGGTTCACCACTCCAAGTCCCGGAGCTTAGGTTACCGGTTCACACCACTGAACAGCAGGTCTTCGTGAGCTTTCCCCGTTTGCTGTTCACGCAAAAAAATTGTGCAATAAAAAAAATCACGCCAATATAATACTGTATATAGGAACAGGTAAGCATAGGGGTTCACGAGAGAACAGTTCAACGTTTAAAACTTTAGATCACAATTATGACCCACTATGAAAGCAGTTTAATAAGAGTCGATCACCATTTGTTGTCGCGTGCTTCACTCTGTTTTCTATCCCACCTCCCATTCGCCCCCATTCTCTGTTATTATTTTTGTTGCGTGGGCACCAAGTTTGCTCGGAAGCCGGTGGTAAAATACGTGTTTCATGGCGGGTCTTGTATTGACTTAAGGGCTGGCGCAGAACGTGGATTGTGAGGACGAAAGCTAAGTACTCCCATTGTGGCCTCATCCGCTTTACAGACGCTATAGCAGGTTAGTCGTACTCATCACCTCAGGCAACAGTTGCTTAATTTTTACGTAAAAGACAGTCACACTGCGCATTGGTCGACGACAAACTAATATGATCACGCTGGGCATCATCTCACCTGGTGGACGCATCACGGATGAAGCGTCTGCTCGCATACAGAAGGCTCGG